GACAAAACGAGGGAGCCAGTGCAGAGGGTGCGACAGAGGGCGCGCGCTGCTCCGGCAAAACGAGGACGAAGGTGCTGCACCCTTTGAACTGGTTCAGCCGGTGCAGCCAAAACGAAGAGACCATAAGCAAACAGAAATAAGGTCTGCACCTTGTCGGCCCATCGTCATTCGTTTCGGGTGTCGTGCTGTGCCTGCATCGCTGAACTCACTCTGCCCAATTTCCTGAACTCTGCGTGCACATGAAAAGCTTTAGCGCAGAGACAAGATCTTCGTGTCCTTCTTGTCTCTGTGTCGTCGTTTTGTTTTCGAAGGCTTGATTCATATGCAAAGGAAGTTCATGGCTATTGGAAAAGAGGGTGAAAGCGCGCAGGCCAGCGGATGCTCAACGGCTAGACACTATCTTCTACTGGTATTTTCAGCGTTTTGATGTTTGGGCGGTAGATTTTTCAGCATTTTGAGTTTTTGACATTTATACTTTTCGACATTTCAATTTTCCATCATTCTGACATTCGGCCTTGTATCGGCCTCTTGTTTTTCAGCGCTTTGAATGCCACCCCGTCTGCTATCCCCATCTCTCACAAGGCCGAGTATGCGATGCCCCTTGGTCACAATGCAGGAAAGAAAGGAGCCCTCAATCAGGCGGATCTTCTTAGAACACCTCGCGTGCCATGACACCCGCAAGATCACGTGCAGAACATGTGCAGCGCGCGACCGAACCAACTCGCTTTCAAGGCAGCTTGAGTAGAGGTCCGTTTGAAAATAAGGTCTGCACCTTGTCGGCCCATCGTCATTCGTTTCGGGTGTCGTGCTGTGCCTGCATCGCTGAACTCACGCTGCCCAATTTCTGAACTTCGCGTGCACATGAAGATAGCTTTAGCGCGAGAACAGAACGACGACAAAGAGACAAGATCTTCGTGTGCTTCTTGTCTATTTGTCGTCGTTTGTTCTCGCGCTATAACTATCGTCATGTCATACCAACTAGCCCAAGCTGCCACACTTCTTCGCGTGCACAACCGCGAACCGGTTCCGACTGATGCGGGTGAATCGAACGGACCGTAGGCCTTCCCAACGTCGACGAGGGGGCGCTGTGCCGCGCGCTTTTTTTTTTTTTTTTGTAGGGGGTAGGAGTTTAGGGAAAAACATGGAAAACTGAAAACGTCCACGATAGAAGCAAAAGACGGTTAGAGTGTTGGTGGCAGAAAAGTAGAGATAAAGGACAGAAATAGTGGGAAAATGAGGTCATTCTGCCTGAAGAGACAGGCAGATAGAACACGAATTTATATTTTTCTTTGTTATGAGATCGTCTTTATCGAAGAAGATAAGGCATTAAGCCAACATAAAAAGAAAGATTTCCTTTCATTTTTTGTTTTGTAATTTGCGAGCCTGGTGGTACACATGTCACCACCCCGTTATAAAGGGGACGCTCATAGCTTCCATCCGAGAGTAACTCTATGTTCACTAGATGGACGGATGGATGGACGGGCGGACAAACGGATAGACGTGGCCAGCGGACGGACGATTCATGGTTTACCCATAAAACCCTCCGAAGCTTCACCCCACTCATCATTCACTCCGTGCATATGCTGTGATTTTTTATGCTTCTTTTTTCGCACCATATGTCATACTTGAAAAAGCAAGTAGTGGCAGCTGCAATGTGTGTTGCTGCACAGCTATAATATCGGAGATCACCGGCTGTTTAACTGATACGTGCAAGTGCAGTGTGGTTTCCAGCTGTACAGACGCTCTATGTCACTGACAGAAGCAGATAAATGCCTTGCTTCGGTGCGCAAGTTGGAGAGGGCTGCGTGTTTGATTTGTGACTTTGACAATCGTGATGCCTTTGCCGACGGACAGTATTAAAATGGCCGCACAAAGAATAGCATATGCGCGTTGTTCCTAACTTGCACTCACTGCCGTCATGGTTCGGTCGGTTCCGCCTCAGCTGCACACGTGTAGAAATCGAAGTGGCGGCGGTGCTTGCCGCCGCTTCGCGAGCCAGCAGCTCCCCAGTGCTTCCCTTGCCCCTTCAGTGACCAGAGTGCCAGGCATTGGCGTGAAATCGCATGGTTTTTTTTTTTGTTTCAAATGTTTGCACATGTGCGCACACATACAAACGCACGTACCGACGTTAGTAACGTAGGGTTGAACCACCGCCTCCCAAAGAAAAAAAGAAGAGAGAACCTGAAATATTAGCGAGGTACTTTCGATAAAAGTGGCCGCGGACATATACATCCAATTATACTCGGGAAACCAAACATAACTTACTTAGGTGCCCAACACGTCCCTCCCGCACGATTTTTTTTTTAATTTAGAATGTTTATTAATCACGCACACATGGAAACGCACCCACAAACATCAATTACGGCTACCCCTCATTCCCCCACTCCTCCTCCCAAGATTAATGATTCGTTTTTTTAAAGCATTCTTTTTGCAGCTGTGGCATGTCATAACAGCTTGCAGGCCTCGGTGGACAGAACCGGGTAATAATTCGCGTCTAGCCACTTGCCATATACCGACGGCGGACAAAATGAAAAGCGATTCGCCGAGAGCGAGATAAGTTTAACGACGCACGGAATCTTTATCCTCCGCATCACATCCGAGAGTGCGGGATGGCAAAAGCGAGACGTGTTGTGCCGTCGCTACAAATCCGCTTTAGAACGAGCTGCCTTCGCTAGCAACGCGGCCCCTTCCGCAATCTGTCCGAATCAGTGTAAACGAGCTGTTCTTATCTGCGACAAGGAGCCGGTATTGTTGAAACAGTGTTTTTTCGCCGGCGCGTCTTCGTCGAGTGCCTTGTCTCGCCTGTCCGCTGCGTAATCTCTGTCACCTGATAAAGTACAATGTCACGCGCGCAGCGCAGTGCAAGGCTGTCGAGGCTCTCGTAATTATCATGTCTAAGGTCACGGGCGAGGTAGCACTGTACGATAGCTTGTTATAGAACGCCCGTCATTCTCCATGCAGTGTAGCCCTCAAGTGAATGAGCAGCAATTTGCCGGTTGTAAGCTTTGTGAGAGAAAGAGTGAAGGCAGAGTTAGGCCTGTACTGTTCTCACAAGCACAGTGTATACCAATGTGGCCTCCACTGGAGTAGCCTGGTTGAGGTACCCGGAACTTTTAATAGCCATTGTAGGAACATGTGTATTTCCCACCAGTATGCACAGATTAAAGAGCATTCCTTTCTCCTCCATCTCTCTGCGCCAAATAATATGTCGACCTCATCTCTACAAACCTTGCTCACAACCTCTGAAGGACACCAATGTTTGCTTACAAATAATGACCTATGTTCTGGTATAATACCTCCAACATGTTCATAATTCTACCTTCCTATTCATACACCCACTAATTTATTGTATCAACAGCGACATGTTTAATGAAATAGATGAATGAAGGAAAATGAGAACTAATCTGAACACAAACTGTAGAGACATCTCTGTCTCGTAATGCACTCAACCGAGTGTATCCTTAAATCAGTTCACTCATCTTTGCTACGTATTTGATGCTATATAATTCTCACCTCGAAGTGCCATAATTACCGCTATACATGACTTGACTCCTTTACACCAAAAGGCATTGTGACTTGAAGTGGTAGCGAATCCCTGCTCCGCAATGTTCAGGACCAATTTCAATGATGATTAATTTTAAAGAACAAAGGGAATGAATGCTTTGAAACCTGAAAGGGAATCACAATTCCAATGTAACACAGCTATGAAACGATGGGTGTAAATGAGGAAAAATTGACGAAGCAGCGCAGATCTGTACTCATCCCGTCACCGTTGTCTATGTAGAAACTTACATACCTCCTTATGAGTGTTTTAATTCTGCTTTGAAAGTTTCACAGCATGTAAGAGTGAGTACTTTTTGAACTACTGACTGTGACACACTTGGTAGGAGTAAAATGTCCCTTTCTAAAAATATACTACAGGAATTTTAAAGTTGTATAATGATGCTGGAACAGTTATTAAACACATGCTCACTCAGTTCTAGACACTAGCGCGACCAATCAGAAATTAATAGGTTCCCTCATCCATCCGTCACACTATTCTCAACATTTTCCCGGGGACAGAACATGCCCCTTCCCCCCTTGTGAGCTACATTCGACACAACAATTTGTGTTTTGGTGCGAAAACACCTTAAAAGAATAGCAATAAATTCATTTCACCCCAGTAGAGAACCACGCAAAATTTTAAAAGCTGCCCCAAACGAGTCCTTCAAACATGTTTTTTTCTTTCACACATGAAATTCAACAAAATATTATTGCCATACAGAAAACTCTTAATATATTAGGTTGCTTTTGACGTGTCTATTGCCACGCTTTTAGGGTGCAGTGCTAGGAAACACACCGACAGAAAAACACATAGTAGATGTAACGAGCGCCCATTGTGTCCACTCTGTGTTTCTCTGTCCGTGCGTTCCATAGCACTACACTACAGAAGTTTGACCACGAACCAACTTGCCCACAACAAAGTTCTGATAGTGTTTATTGTGCCACTGGGGAACATCACTCGGCATCATGCAGCAGGTGGTGCACATCCTGCAGTTGTTTGGTACTTCTGAGAAGCCTTAGAAACAATGGACTATAGCCCCGCCGCAGCGGTCTAGTGGCTAAGGTACTCGACTGCTGACCCGCAGGTCGCGTGTTCGAATCCCGGCTGCAGCAGCTGCATTTCCGATGGAGGCGGAAATGTTGTGGGCCCATGTGCTGAGATTTGGGTGCACGTTAAAGAACCCCAGGTGGTCGAAATTTCCGGAGGCCTCCACTACGGCGTCTCTCATAATCATATGGTGCTTTTGGGACGTTAAACCACACGTATCAATCAAAAACAATGGACTATAACATAACTATATTGCTACAAGGACTACATGTCATTTGTGTTAGAACGCCAAGTGGTAGTTGTACCAAGAGCACTTATGTTTTGCGATCAAACTTTCAATGCACACGGCAGTGTTAACACACAATAATCTGCTTACGGCTGCACAGCGCACTTGCATGTACAGCCAAAGTAAGAGTACAGTTTTTTAATGCAAATTGTGCAGTAAACAGAAAATGATTAAAAAAAGGCAGAAGACAAAGTTGCAAAGCTACTTTTTTATGCTCCGTCACTAGGAATGCTAAACCCAACAGTCATCCCCTTCACTGACACGTGCCTGAAGTGATATCATGTTATGTTTGTCATAAATGACTTGGTCCTTTATAGCCGTGTCCCAGTTCTTATTTCATTCTTGAATAAGCTCTTCAGAGTGTTATGGCAATACGCACCCCTAATACAGTGACGATAGTTTTGACGCATGAAACTTAGCCAAATACTATACCAAATACTATACCAAAAATGACATTACTAATTTTTTACAAGAACACTCCAAAAATTCTTAACATTTTGGCACTTAATGAAATCATGCTTTTGAATGCCAGCATTGTTTATCCATGCAAGTGCTTTAATTTTACAAGGCATGTGCAATTAGGCACAAAGCATGGCAAGAGTAACAATCAATTGGTCACACATAGGTGCTTGCCTTCTAAAAGCAATCACTTTTGTGTCGAATGGTCCAGAATTGTACCTCACACTGACATCTCCACATTTAAAAATGCACATTACAAACTAACTACTCACGAGGAAATAAGCAACTCGCATCATATACACCAAATTTCTTTTAAGGGTCTGCTATACAAAAATGTTTTTTCTAGACTGCATGCACAAGCTTTTTAGCCAGCCGCATGTGACTAATGGCAGAAAGTTAGTGTTGAAGCTGTTTGCTCGTCATTTTTGTACAACATAAAAACTGCAATGGCAGAGCCCTACAAGAAATCTAGGGATCAATGTAAAATCCAGACTCTTATAAAAGAGTTCAGGCTTCAAAGCTGTCATGATAGTAGTCTTAACTTTTATGCCCTGATGGTAATGAAGTAAACCTGAGTGTGAAAGACAGTTCACAGGAACACAGGCAAACTTGGCATTTGTGACCCATCTCAAACATTTTCCTCCATCGATACGATGCACACCCCAGCATAGCTTCAGAGCAGTAGATAAGTAGGAACAAAAACGTTTATTGCGGGCCACGTCAATATGACACATAGGAAGGTGCAAGTCACACTTGCCATATAAAGAACAATTATTTAGGAAACAATAAACTTATTTTGCACATCTCATCAAGATCGGGTATTATATGTACAGCACTTAAGAGCGTGCCAGGAATAGTTGCCCTGAAAAAAATATAGCTTTAGTGAGCACTTTGGAACCACGCATGAAAGCCCACAAGGTACAACTGCCCACAGAAAAGTTGCATAAAAATAAACCTCTCACAGCAAAATGAATTGCCAGTCGGCAGCATGGAAGGAGTTCGCGATAGTTTTAGCAAGGCATGCAAAAAAATATGTTTGTGGTGCCTGAAGTGCGAATATAAAGCACGGTGGTATCACATCTTTGCAGTACAGCTTGCATTAATTAAGCTGGATGAGGGCTGCTACTGACGACGTCTGTGGGGACACATAATGCTTCGGACTTGCGCTAACCACACAAAAGATACCCTTTTCGGGTACGATCTCAAAAGAATTGTGATATGACAAGATTGAGATGACTGAAACCCATCATATAAAATGCAACGGATGAATTTACGTAACATCACCAAGGAAATGTCACAAAACAGCACATCAAGGACATTTTAAATGTGATAACTGCATCTTCCATGCCATTATTATTTGCAGCTTTCTTCACCGTGGTGCCAAAGCAACCCAATCATGGTTTCATACGCCATTCAGCAGGCTAGCATCTGTCATTGCAAGCCCTGAGAAAGTTGGGTGGGTGCCCAAGAGAACTGAAGTGAAATTCTAGATGTGAAACACATGCACCAGGAAAGCAAGCCAACACAGTGTCACACCCTGATTGGAATCTGAGACTGCCCGCAGTGAAACTCCCAACCCACAGTGCATACCCCATATTTTCTAGAATGTAATTGCGGAACAGCCAGTTTATGAGATGGAGCTCAGAGCCCTTTGTTATAGTACACCGTGGAAGGCGGACTGGGCAGCTTTTTGATGACCTCCTGTAACTCCGGTTCCAACTGGTTCACTTCGATCTGGCTTTTCTGCGGAAAGATGGCACAACACAGAGGCGTCGCGAACACCAGCATCAGGCCGCACATGCCCACTTGCAGCGGCGCGCTGATCCACGGGTACCGCCGTAGCACGCCTTTCTTCTCGAGCGTGTTCATCACGATGGGCGGGAACACCATACCGGGGGCTGCCATGCCCACCCGGGACAGAACGACCATGGCGATGGCCCACTTGGCGGCGACCTTGGACTCGCCCAGCCGGTTGCCGTTCTCGTCGACCACGGGGATTCCGTGCCTGATCTCCCGCATCCGCATCATGGGAATGTTGACGCAGTTGGCCGCCGCCACGGCGCAGAACGGCACGAATCTGCCGACGAGCGGCGGGAGCGATTTGACCAGACTGTTCAGACCTAGCGCTGTTCCCAGAGCACCACCGGTGGCCAGCACGTAAGAGAGACCCAGCGTCGACAAGGGAATCGGCGAGTCTCCGCTACGGTTCGAGTAGTTCACGACCGCGTTGAACGACTGGTTGACCCACTGCCAGAAGATCACCTGCGGCGTCGTCTTGTAGAAGGTGAGCATGCAGCCCGTGATGGTCATGTTCATGGGCACCTGAGCCGACATGCGGCCGATCATCGTCACCTTCTCGCCGGTGTCCGGATGGAACGCGGAGTCGTAGACGTGCTTGGCTCGCCACAGTTTCTCTTCCGTCAGACCGGGAATGTGCTCGCCCTTGCGGTAGCGCGTGACGATGTCGCGCGACTCGTTTAGCTCGTGGCCCGTGCAGAGCAGATTGAGCGGGTTGGTCACCGTGAAGAAGTGCCGCGCCCGGCCCCAGTACGTGCTCTGGTCCCAGCGGGGCTCGTCGATGTTGATGCGCGACTGCATCGTGCCTGGCGGTTCGCTGGCGTTGCGCACTGCTCCGATGTCCCGTCGTCGATGCGTGCTATCGTCGGATGATTCACAGCGGTCGACGCGGACACGAACGTACGCATAGACGGGAAAAGATGAGTGCCGCCGAAGGCTGAATAAATCGACGTCCACAACATATTGCGCGACGCCACACGGCAATTTGTTCTGATTACTGAAGTAATAAAAAAGCTTTGTGCGTAGCGTAATCCATAAAATGGTGATTCGTCTAACATAATGCAGCCTATTATTATAGCACCTGTAAAATACCCTTTACAAATTATTTTCAACAACAATCTGCACGCTCCTGTCATCTATGTAAAACTGTTAAAGCATTCTCAACTTTGCACCCGAACAAATCTCGAAGGCCATATATGAGTACAGCTTGCATTACTTTATTTCTGCCGCCAGGAGTCAGTTGCCATTTCAACTGCTTTGTTGTTCGACAGAGGGCGGCTCCATTCGCATAAGAGCGTTCATCCTCGTAAACATGTGGTTTTTCAAGCAAATATTGAAAATTTAAATGTTTTCAAATAGACATAGGCAAAACTCGTATAAGAGGTATTTGCTGTGATGCTTTCTGCGGCAAGTTATTTTATTTAACTTGAGTTATTTTCAGTGATCTTATCAGAAACGTTTAGTCTTTAAAGCCCCTTGTCATGCCATACGTGGCATCAAAGTTGTGGCTATATATAGTTGAACGCAAACATTACCGTTGTACTTCCAAAGTACATATACTAAAATTGGAACGATACAGAGAAGATTAGCATGGCCCCTGCGCAAGGATGACACGCAAAATCGTGAAGCGTTCCACATTTTTTGTTGGTAAATTGTTCCAGTGCATCTGTTAATTATTATCAGTATTCACTTTCGTATATATCACGGAAGTTGCACAGAAATAATGAGTGCGTGAATTGGAAAAAAGCTCCACACATGAAAGGACACTCAGTGGCAGTGGTCCGCATGACTGTCTCTAGATTTGCGCATTTGTTAATTGGTAATTATTCATTCGAATGAACCGACTATGCAATTGAAATATTAAGCGTCACCATGCCTATTAGGTGCTCCGTTCTATGATGGGAATGTATCCCCGCCCTCGAAGGTCGCCGCACAATTTGGAATAATGAGCTTATCGTCATGTGTATCTAAAGGACGTCGCGCTGTGGTCTATCGTCGACATACCTGTGTTCACGACGTGTGTGTGTGTGTGTGTGTGTGTGTGTGTGCGCGCGCTTTCAAGATTACACACAAAGGAATACCCCATAAAGCGTATGGGAAAACAGCCACTTCTGTAGCTCAAGTTGCGCGACATCGGCTGTGTTTTACGAAGGTTGAAGGTTCAATCCCTACGAGAGGCCAGTCAATTTTCGTTTCCGTTTGTGTCATAATAACTGCGCTACAGCTAATAACGCGCTACACCTATGTGCTTGACACACACAGATCTGTGATCTGTGCCGAAGTATCAGAAATTGAATTGGGACGTTTTCAATTCACTGAATACAATGCGCTTTGCCGTGCAAGTTTCGCCTGCACGTGGGAACAAACTAAATGATTCGACAGAACTGCGCTTTATCCAACAGGAGACATTACATGAATATAACTGTCATAAGCACTCACTTAACATATTCGTGAAATAAACAAATTAATACTGCCACACACAATCATTTCGGAAATAATGAGATATTTTCCGTTTACTGGGATCATATGTACAAGTTTCTTCTGAACAGTCGCCAGGGATTTTGTAGTCGTATACCCCGATTAGTGTGAAATGCTGGAGTGTTCTACCGCCACGTCACAAACGCTAATGGGAGCTTTCTAATGGGAGCTTTACGTGGGAGCACCGCTGATAGCAACGATTTCAACACCAACTTCAGAAAATCGAACTGAACTATTTCTATAGCGAACTCACCGACGTGGCCCATGCAATGGCGTAGGGGATAGCCTCACCGAGCCTGCGGTCTACGACTCGCTAGCTGGATATCGTGCCGACTGGTTGGGTTTCCGCGATCTCCAACGACAGCGCAGCTCTGGCTGACTGGGCTCGCCCAAAGCCATCTCCTGACGCCGACAAGAGCTCTCGCCGAGTGGTGCCCCGTTCTCGGACTCCTGCGACCGTGCCCATCTTTCCTATGTTCTCCTTACTTCCGTCGTTCGCTGTCCCTGCGCCTCACTCTCTCCTTCGTCTCTCTCCATCTCTTTACCTTTTAATCCTATCCTTTTATACCTACCCCCCCCCCCCCCTTGTGAGCTACTGTTGAGGTGTCCTACCCCTGAGAGACAGTTGCGGGGCTGACTTTTCTCTTCTTTTCATTCAAAATCACCCCCACCCCCCTGTGGTCTACCCAAGGAGGACACATTTTATGTATCCTCCTTGGGTCTACCCTAAAAATGTTTCCCCATGCAGAGAGAAAAATGACCGTTTCAAGTGGGTGCCCCCTCGCCCTCGAAAAAAATTGAAGCCTATATGCTTCTGGTCCCATGTAACAACCTTCGCCTCGATGAGGCGACGACGGGTCTCGGCATGTCATGTCCACCAATAGGTAATCAATTGCAAGTAAAATCAACATATCAGGTGGCTATCTAAACTGGTAGTTAGGAGCACGATCGCACCGTCTCAATTCTGCACGATGACAGAATCCGACAGCAATTGGAATTTCCGCACCTAACCTCAACCGCACTTAACCTGAATAATTACGGTCAATTAAAGCTTCAAAAGTTTTGCGAGAGAAACATGAAGCCGGACAACGTGTTGAGTGAGCAAGTACACGTGAAAACACACAACCGCGGAGGTGGTATTAAAAGGCGAGCGAATTTCGATATATGTTGCGAGACCCGATACTCAACACGAGCGCAGTGCTTGACGCACCTGTGAAAGCGATGTCCGTAGATACATGAATTCCAAACATAAATACACAGATACATGAATCCAAACATGAAACAGATACATGGATCCAAACAAAAGCGTGTTCTTGATTTTCACATCTGTCGGAATGCCGCTGTCGTGGCCATGAATGGAATCCATCATAGGGTTTAGCAGCACGACAGTGACCTTTTCACTCTTTTCACACTGCTATACGACCCAGCGCGTGATTGTTCTGAAGCAAAGGTAGACTTTTTATTGTTTCACCTGAAACATTACCAATTCTGTTTCTTCATTCATCTGCAGCTTGTGACAAGCAAAAAGCGAACGCAGACAGCTGAACAGCACACGAAGCGAGTGCATCATTATGTAGGCGCGCCGCGGCTGGCATCAAAGAGTCTGAACCGTGACGTCATCCTCCAGGAGGCGACACTCCAACTTCTCGTGGGTAATTGTGGGAAGTTGAAAGGTTGAAATGATACGGTAAGAAAAAATCACAGCATATCCACGGAGGGCATGATGATGAGTGGGGCGAAGCTTCCATCAGTCCATTCGTGCTTCCGTCCATCTGTTCTTGCTGACGTCCGTCCGTACGCCCGTCTGTGCAACCATCCATGCGTCCATCCGTCCATGCGTCCATCCGTCCGTCCATGCGCCTGTTCATTCGTGCATCCACCCGTACGTCCATGCGTCCATCCATGCATTCATCCATGCGTCCATTTGTCCATACATTCGTCCGAGTGTCTGTGCATCTGTCTGTCTCTCCGTCCGTGTGTCTGTTCATGTAGTGAACACTCTAAGTACCACCATCTCGCATTCTTTCATCATATATTCATCATATAAAGTAACCCCATACAGCGGACATCCCAAGGACTAAACGAGAGGGGACACGGCTGGACTAGAGGAGCGGCACGCACGCACTTTCTTACGACCTGCACTTCGTGTCTAGTTCCCACCTTTCACCACCACTAGTTCATGGCACTGCGGCCCAACCCTCGCTAGGGTGCCTTGATGCCCGCGCGCTCCGCTCGGGCATCAAGGGCGGGGGCGCGCGCATCGAGGCACTCTAACCCTCGCTAAACCATGCTAAAACCAAGGAGGTTACGCCCAGATAGTTTAACGTGACAACCCTTTCTGGTCAGATTATGCTCAAAGTGCGTCCTTCTGGTACTAGTTTTTTTGAGGACGAAGCTCCCTATGCCATGGGTAGTGATTCCGCGATGTATGTATGTATGTATGTATGTATGTATGTATGTATGTATGTATGTATGTATGTATGTATGTATGTATGTATGTATGTATGTATGTATGTATGTATGTACGTGTATGTATGTATGTATGTATGTATGTATGTATGTATGTATGTATGTATGTAGCAGTAGTAGTAGTAGGCAGCCACCTTTTCACGGCCGGACTATAGAGGAGCGGCACGGAGGAAGGCATATTTTATTGGAGATGAAGTCACCGATACTCATCTCTGTACGTTGTTTCATGAGAAATAACTATCTATTTATGAATAACGTGTGCGGGCTTCCTCCTCAATTCAAATGAGTGCGCGCGTGCAGCTTCTCGAGTCCGGAGGTGGGTGCCTACGACTACTACGTATTGCTACTACTACTACTACATACATCGCGGACGCACGACCTACGGCTTGAGAAGCTTCGCCCTTAAAATTAGTTATTTGCGGTGTTATGCGCACCCTACCAACGGACGTACACGATGCAGCGTGCTTACATGTGTTTCTGCAATTGCGAGTAATCCCCATACTCATTACATGGGAGAGCAGTAAGCCGTCCCGATTGAAAAATGTGTTTAGAAAAATTGTTTAATGGTTTAGCGCACGTAGTACTCTACTATTGAGAGCATTAAGCCATCCCAATATGTAAAGAACAACTGTTCGGCGATTTTAAAGTAGGATGTACTCTTCTATATGAAAGAGCAGCATAGAGAAACATACTTACATAAAGAGCAGACACTCCCGTAGGGCCCTGTGGCCCAGCTACTGCGATGCTTTCAGCGTCACGTGTGACCGGTCAGACCCGATAATGTCTTCAGTGCAAATAAAATGAGAAAATATTTTTTTTCCGACGCTGGGATTTGAACCCGTACCCTCACAGTTCGAAAGTGAGTGTCTTTATCACCAGGCTACACACCCATGCTTCCAGAAAGGAAACACATGTACCGCACATCTAAACCACATGAATGTGCACCTCTCGGGCAATACAAATGCAGAAAAACAACTCTCTCTAGTCAGACTTTACT